CTACGGCCACAGCAGGTCGGTGCCCCCGGCCCGGCGCGGGAGGGTGCTGCTCCCTGCGGGGGGTCGGTTGGGCCGAGGTCCGGGGCGGCGGAGCTGGGCGGCGTCCCCGGGAGACGCGGGCACCGGCCTCGGCGCCTCTCGCGCGGGAAGAGCCCGGTGCCGCAAGCACACGTTGAAGTGCCCGGGCCGTGCGGCCTGGGGCTCTCCGCCCTCGGGCTCTCTTCCCGCGGGGGAGCCCCAGTCGCGGCCTCGGCTGCGCGCTTGCACTTACAAGCGCGGCAGGCTTATTTTGTCTTTTCCCCTGAGTTGTGAAAAGGGGCTAATGCCTCTTCTGTTGGAGGAGACTGGCGAGAAGTAACTGTCAAGAGAAGGGTGAGATGCTGCTGGGGGCTTGAGGCTGATGCAGGCAGTGCCTGGTCACTGTTCCCTAGAGAGTCTCCTGTGAAGCCCAGCAGAGGTAGGTTTATTTTGAAAAGGCTTCAGCTAAGTGTTTTGTTTCCTTTCGCAGTGAGCTGAAGAGACGGTTGAAGGCAGAGAGGAAAGTAGCTGAGAAGGAAGCAAAGCAAAATGAGCAAAGTGAAAAGCAGCCAAACAAGCCTGCCTCGGCCCCAGGCTCTGAGAATGGCCTGGGCGCTGATGAGGAAAGCCTGGATCCGAATGTGAGTTGCTCATCTGTTGTAGCTGTGAGAATCAATCTTGCTGCTTCCTACTTGATTTCTAATCGTGCTGTGTTTGGAGAATCAGAGTGGTAACGAGCTATGACTCTGCTCCTGTTTCTCTTCCAGGAGCTGTTTCAGATGAGTGTTTGGTTTACCAGCTCGCTGTTGAGGAAGGAAGTAACTTTCAGTGTTAGAGATTTTTGCCTGTTAATGGCTCCCCGTTTTGAAGCATAAAAAAAAAAAAATTCCATTTGTACAGATGGCTGGAAAATCCAGGTTAATACTGATAATTCCAGCTGAATGAGAGATCTGATCCCTGGGTGAAGTGCACAGCTCCTCTTTTACCTTGGAGAAACTGGTGCCGGGATGGGATTTATCTCAAAGAAGGAGTGTTGAGCGGTGTTTCAGTAAGGTCTTGTTTCGGCTGTGGACGATGAAAGCGCAAGTATCTTATAAAACCAAGGTCCCTAATATTTCTGTAGAAAGTGGCTTGATGGAGAGAGTACTAGGAGAATTTGATTGGTAACTATGTAAAGCCACAAAACTCCTTTTTGCAGCATCGTGCTGCTTATCCTATTAATTTAGGCTCTAGCTGTGCCTTCAGCCTTTCTCTGAAGATACTGCCAAACAAATTTCCTCTTTAGGTGGACAAGTCTTCATTACCTCAGGTGGTGACTAATTTTTGTGATCAAATACACCCACGGAAATCAAATAGGCTGCTTTTTTTTGTAGTTTATGAATTGCAAAATTCCTTCAGTCTTTAACAAATGTGTTTGGTCCTTGTTTATATCTGATGACAGCAATATTACAAGATTCGCAGCCAGGCAATCCAGCAGCTGAAAGGCACGCATGAAGATCCTTATCCACACAAGTTCCATGTAGAGATCTCTCTCACAGACTTCATAGAAAGGTACAGCCATCTGCAGGCAGGGGATCACCTGACGGACATCACGGTAACGGTGGCAGGTAAGACTTTCTTGGGACTTGTTCTTGGAGACTCATGTGGATATCTCCACAACTCTGGACTGTGCACTTTGCTTCCCCGTGGTCTTAGGGATGTAGCAGGTTTGGACTGTATTAAGGGTTAAGCGTTTGAAGTTCAAGGGTATTGCTTCAGAGCACCTGACAACAGAGACCTGGTCTTGGGTGAGGAGCTATAAGGCCCCTATGTTTCATAGTTTCATAGTTTCTAGGGTTGGAAGGGACCTGAGCAGATCATCTAGTCCGACCCCCTGCCATGGCAGGAAGAGCACTGGGGTCAAATGACCCCAGTAAGGTGGTCATCCAACCTCCTCTTAAAAACCCCCAGGGTGGGAGCCTGCACCACCTCACTTGGAAGCTGGTTCCAGACTCTAGCTGCCCTGACCGTGAAGTAGTGCCTCCTGATGTCCAACTTAAACCTTCCGTCCGCCAGCTTGTGACCATTGTTCCTGGTCACTCCTTGCGGCGCTCGGGGGAACAGGGACTCCCCCAGCGCCTGCTGATCCCCCCTAACCAGTTTATAACAGGCCACAAGATCCCCCCTCAGCCTTCTCTTTTGAAGGCTGAACAGGTTCAGGTCCCGCAACCTTTCCTCATAGGACCTACCCTGCTGTCCCTTGATCATACGAGTGGCCCTCCTCTGGACCCTCTCGATGCTGTCCACATCCCTCTTAAAGTGCGGCGCCCAGAACTGGACGCAGTACTCCAGCTGCGGCCTGACCAGTGCCGCATAGAGGGGGAGGATCACCTCCTTGGACCTGCTCGAGATGCATCTGTGGATGCACGACAAGGTGCAGTTGGCCTTCCTAGCCGCCTCCCCACATTGCCGACTCATGTTCATCTTGGAGTCAATAATGACTCCCAGATCCTTTTCCGCCTCCGTGCTGACAAGAGGGGAGTTCCCCAGCCTGTATGTGTGGTGCCGATTGTTCCTCCCCAGGTGCATCACCTTACACTTGTCCGTGTTAAACCCCATCCTGTTCTCCTCTGCCCATCCTTGTAACCTATCTAGGTCTAACTGTAGCCTGTTGCTCCCCTCAATTGTGCCCACATCCCCCCACATCTTAGTGTCATCAGCAAACTTGAACAGGGTGCTTTGCACCCCCTCGTCCAAATCACTGATGAAGATATTGAACAGTGCAGGCCCAAGGACCGAGCCCTGTGGGACCCCACTTCCCACGTCCTTCCAGGTCGAGAAGGACCCATCCGCTACCACCCTCTGGGTGCGACTCTCTAACCAGTTGGCGACCCATTGGACTGTAATGTTTAAGAACTTTTGTAAAATGGGTTAACACTGAGACCTCAGTTATCTTAGTCCTCTTGCCAAGCAACCGGTGAGCTTAGAAGCAATGCCTGTGGTTGTGATTATGCTGTGCCGTGGCTTTGCCATGGTATTGAGGATGCTGATTTTGACTTTTTAACCTTTGGGCTTTTAGGTCGAATTCATGCAAAACGAGCTTCTGGAGGGAAACTCATCTTTTATGATCTTCGCGGAGAGGGAGTCAAGTTGCAAGTCATGGCAAATTCCAGGTAGGTAAGAATGTTATAATTGCGTTTTAAATGGGGGGAGCAGGTCTGAAAAAGGACACCTCTTCAGCTAGTCTGTGAGCTTCCAAATTTATAGTTGGGTGGTGTAGAACTCAATGGAGTACTTTCTGGTTCCTGGGTTAGCCACTAAGTATTTTGGAAGGTGGAGAGCCTTGATGAGCAAAGCTGAGGTTGTGGATCGTGGAACAGATTTGCATAAATTTGTTAAATAATTGCAGGTTCTACAAATCCGAGGAAGAATACGTCCGTGTTAATAACAAATTGCGTCGTGGGGACATCATTGGGGTTCAGGGGAATCCCGGCAAGACGAAAAAAGGGGAGCTCAGTATTATTCCTTATGAAATCACCCTCTTGTCTCCCTGCCTGCACATGTTGCCTCACCTTCACTTCGGGCTCAAAGACAAGGTAACTCCCCCACCCCACTCCCATCTACCACTTTTGGTGTTAGAGCTAAATTGGTAGCTGAGACATGGGTCTGAATTTATGACCCTTTTGTCTTCATGTGGTGTGAAGGCTTATCAGTTTTTAATATTTCCCCATTTGAACTTTAAGTTTAACCTGCATTATTCTAAAATTATTTGTCCTTTTTTAGGAAACTAGATATCGTCAGCGATACTTGGATTTAATCCTGAATGACTTTGTGAGGCAGAAGTTCATAACCCGTGCAAAGATCATCACATACCTTCGGAGCTTCCTGGATGAATTGGGCTTTCTTGAGGTAAGGCTGGGTAATATATTTCTTGCTGTGTACTGCACACTTAGACCTTCAAGTCTGAACATACATGCTATCCCGCCCTCTACCCAGGGCCATGTTCTATATATGTATGTAAGTGCGAGGAGCGTACATTTTTACTTTGACACATGTACATTGTTGGCTTTGTGCAGAGGAGCTGTAAAAGGCAAAGTGTGTAAAGAAGTAATAGTTCACCTTTTTAGTCTGCTACACTTTTGGAGCCAGGGCAATCGGGGGGGGGGGGGGGGGGGGTGGGGAGGG